ATGCGGCGGCGGCGGCGGCGGCGGCGGCGGGAGGCCCGGTCCGGAGCGCCATAGTGCGTGAGGCCGCGGACGTGGCAGGGAGCGCGGGCGGGGCTCTGCCGTGTGGACACTTCAGCTCTTGGGGTCCTGAGCGGGGGTCCGGCCTGGCGGGGCTGGGAGCAGGTCCGCGGGGGGCGTGGGGGCCCGGGACGAGCACAGCTGTGCAGGAGCTCGAGTCCGCCGCGGGCTGCCAGGCTGGAGGGGGTCGGCGGGGCGTGCACGCAGGAGGGCGAGGGGCGCCCCCACACTGCGTCCTGCGGCCGGGGAAGGGGGGTGCTGGTCGTTCACCGTCGGTTGCAGAAGGAGTCACGGGGGACGTGGCCTCGGTGGTTGACAAGCCCGCATTTCCTTTTCTACCCTGGTGTTTTGACCTTGGGCGAGTCATTTGATTGTGTCTTCTTGCGACTCTTTCATTTGTAGGTTCCTTATCTGAATACCTCTCCTCTGAATACTAAGAAAATTAGGGTGATGTGGGAAGGCCTTGAGCTTGTCCTGTGGAGGGTACGTTGAGATCTAAGCAAGCTGAATGGGGTGATGCGAGAGATTAGGGCAGGTGCTGAATTCTTAACCAGGTCTTATTGGGTACTAGTCATTCAGACCTCCTGGTTTTTCAGTCCAAAAGTTGCTACTCTTTGCCGGGCCTGGAAACAGTTATGCTTTACATTTTGTGTTACTCTGTATGGTTTACAGAGTACGTTAATTAATTTGCAGACAGCCCTGTGAGGCAGTATTACGGGTGGGGAAATTGATGCCTCAAGAAGTTAGTGATTTCCCCATGGAGCTAGAGGTAGTGAAGTCCTCTGGAACAAAGGGTGGTGGCACCTAGTAAGCTCCTGCTGGGGCCTGGCACTGTGCTCACATAAATTAAGGGAGATAAAATGAAAGGAGACCTCTGGTAGGACCCATGCAAACAAGCCCATTTCACTAATGAGCAGATTGAATTTGGTTAATTTACTGAGTAATATGAGTAGTCACTGGAGACAGAACTGGGTCCAATATCAGCTTTGCCAAAGTTATTGTTCAATTATATCTTGCCACTTCAGCAAAGGGTAGGCTTAAAAGTATTTTGAAATGCGTCAAGTTTTAGAACATGCCCAGCATTGCTCTTACTGCGGCTGTTGGTTTGGTGCAAATGGAAGCTTAGGCATCTTGTAACTTCAAATTTTTTGCTGCTCATGCCCCCCAGCCCCATCCTAATCACAAACAACCCCATTTTTTCTTGCCTTATGTCTCCAGTTTCCGTTTTTATTTTTTAAAGATTTTATTTATTTGACAGAGAGAGCAAGAGAGGGAACACAAGCAGTGGGAGTGGGAGAGGGAGAAGCAGGCTTCCTGCCGAGCAGAGAGCCTGATGTGGGGCTCGATCCCAGGACCCTGGGATCATGACCTGAGCTGAAGGCAGATGCTCAATGACTGAGCCACCCAGGCACCCCTGGTTTCCCTGTTTTTAAAAACAAAATGGGGACACATGGATGCACATAAGAATAGTTCTTTTTTTTTTTTTTAAAGATTTTATTTATTTGACAGAGCACAAGCAGGGGAGCAGCAGGCAGAAGAGGGAGACGCAGGCTCCCCGAGGAGCAGGGAGCCTGATGCAGGGCTTGATCCTAGGGCCCTGGGATCATGACCTGAGCCGAAGGCAGTCACTTAACCAACTGAACCACCCAGGTGCCCCACGATAAGAATATTTCAAATCCAGATAATTGGTCACTTACCTGGTGCCCTCAATGCAAATCCTCTCCTGTGTTCTTTAGGAATGTAGCTTCTGTATCCCCCTATAGATAACTAGATGATAATGTATACACATCTGACCATGGCCCTTGTGATTTTCTAGAGGAAAAGCTTGGTGTAGAGGAGAGGAATCTGTACAGTAAGCTGACAGATGGAACTGTGTTTTGGTCTTGCTGATTTCCCAGTTGGGCTGCCCATTTCTTTTCCACAGGCTTTTGGAATTTGTGGTCTGCTATTTAATGTCTCATTTCTCTTGTAGTCAGTATTGGCATTGGGATTTGCTACGTGGCTGTCTTCTCTCCTTTCTCGTACGTTGTATTTCGTGGTCCTGTAGCATTCAGCTACGGTCATCGGTGTCCTGATTGTTGGCGTGTTCTGTGGTCTGTGAGTGTGTGAACACTGTTAGTATTGGTCATAGAACTGTGAGTTCAGTTTTGCTGCCATCATCTTTTCTCTGCTGCTTCTCATATCCCTCTATCCTTCCTAGGCGGATTTTATTTGAAAACCAAATTGGATTCTATCTTTGCCCTTCTGGCTTGGAAATCACTTACTCCTAGAAATTTATCTCACAGCATCTCACATCTTACGGCTTCTACTGTCACTCACATGCCTTTTGAGGACCAGTCTCCTATTTCAAAGTTCAGCTTGGAGCTTAAACCGGCATCCCACAGATAACTTTAAAACGAAGCAAAACAAACAACTGCTTTCAAAACGGGAAAACTTTCATCTTCCCCTTCCAGGAAAAAGCAAAAAAACAAAACCACTCTCTTTCACTCCTTAACGTGGTTGATGACGTGACTTCTGGGTTCCCGCTAGAAATGTCAGTTACCTTTGTCACTCCTTCTCTTTCATCGTTCTTCTCAGTCTTGTTGAAGAAGATGTGTTGATTTTCCTGTTCCTCTCCTCCCTATTTCTGCTGCTGCTCAGGCCTTTCCCAACTCTTGTCTCGGGTAAGGAAGTGGCTTTCTGTCTGATTTTCCTGGCGGTGTCAGTGTCTGTCCATCCTCTACCCAGCTTCCAGGATGACTGTTGTAGAGTGTGAATCTGACTCTACGTTGGCCCTGCTGGTAAGCTAGATGATCCCCCAAAACACCTACACGGTGAAGCCCACAATTTCTTTAGTGCTCTATTTAAGGACCTTTACAATCTGTGCCTTCAAATTCCTCTTCCAGCCTTCTTCCCCATCTGTGAACCTCTTGTTCTAATGAAATTCGACTTCCCACTGCACCAGTGCTGTGCTATTTCTCTGTGTTTTGTACATAGTGTTTCTTTTGCCCTACTGAATCCTACTCGTCTTCTGAGGCTGACTCTTCATAAAGTCTTTTTCAGCATCCCTCCTCTGTTCCCTTTACTCTCACAGCACCGCATGTGTATAGTGCCTGATGTACGGTGATTTGTGATTGTTTTGCTCGCTGCCTTACGCGCAGGCAAAATTGTTTGTGTTTTGTACGCTCGCTGTTTAGCATTCGACACCAGAGAGGAAGCCTTCATGGTGTTTATAATGAATCTGGGATATAGTGACAACTTAAAAGTGCTTGTGGAATGAATTGACAGAAGGAAAAGCCTTTCAAATATATAAAAATATACTCTAGGCTGTAAGTAACAGTAATTTTCTTATTTTTCCTTTCTTTTCACCGTTCCTTCTTATCCTTGTGAGAAACCTGCATCTCCGTCCTTGTGTGTTCTAATAAATGAATGCTTTCTCTTCGGGAGGAGCAGGTGTTTGCGGGGTGTGAGATGATCTGAGGAAGATCAAGCCTGCGAGCCAGGCTTGTGGGATTTCTAGAGAAGCAGGATGTGGCGATGGGAGGCACCCTGTCAAGGGAGCTAGGACCACAGTATCTTCTTTCTGCGTTTATTTCTTGCAGTGCTAATGCAGACACAGTATTTTGAAGTTTTTCCATTTTGAGCTTACTGTAGTTAGTGATTATTTTCTTCACAGTTATGTTTTCTAAATACTCACTTGTTATTAAGTCTTCGGTTATGACGTTTCACAATGATGAAAAAAAGTGACCTAGAAATCAAGCCTGAAGTTTTCAGAGGCTGCTTTAAAGCCTGCTGGATACAGAAGGCGGAATGTTACAGGAGAAAGAACACTGCCCCTGGGGAGTCCGAACAAGCTGTCGCCTACAAGCTGTGTCGTGACTTGAAGCAAGCCTCCTCTGAGCCCCGGTTAAAGCGTGGCCCAGTCGTAGGATCTGGTGAGGTTCCAGTGAGGATATGAAAAGGAACTTCTGGGTTTCGAAGTCAAGGAAGAACCGAACTTCTATGGAGGGAAGCGGGGGAGCACTGCGGGGGTGCATTTGTCTGATCGCCAGTTACACATGGAGTGGTATGTGTTGGGTGCTGGGCTGAGGGAGGCCCTCGCTCCTGCCTCCTGCCAGATGACAGAGCTTTCAGTCCAAGTGGAAGACATGTTAATATGCACACAAACAGTTGATGATAATATAATAACAGTAAAATACACTATAGTAATTTGCATATGAGGCATATCGAATACACAGTTTTACAGATAATTGTTACAAGTATCTCAGAGACCTACAGGGTGGTTTTATTACTGCAAAGTACTTCCTGGCTTGAATGAATACTTCCTGCAGGGCTGAAGTTGGGAAATAATACATTAACTGGTTGAATTGGGCCCTTAGGTCTCACAGGTTGCAATTTGACCTGTGAAGTACCTGGATCCTTGCCATAATGGGCCACATTGCAGCGCACCCTGCTATCTCCATAGGAAACCCAAGACGGAAAGTGTCCACTTGTCTGTCTTCACTGAGCCCCTCCGAGAAAAGCAGGCGGCTTGTGGGGAACAAACAGGATGAGGTTAGGTGACTCAGTAAGTTAGCAGAACTGCCCTCTGTGGTTCTTTTAGGAGCAGTCTGTCCGGTCAGGTACTTTGTCCTAGACAATTACCTTTCCCTCCCCTCCCCTCCCCTCCCCTCCCCTCCCTTCCCTTCCCTTCTTTCCTCTTTTAAGATTTTATCTATTTATTTGACACACACACACAGAGCACAAACAGGGGGAGGGGCAGAGGGAGAAGCAGACTCTCCGCTGAGCAGGGAGCCTGCTGTGGGGCTCGATCCCAGGACCCTGGGATCATGACCTGAGCTGAAGGCAGACGCTTAACTGACTGAGCCACCCAGGTGCCCTGATTTCTTTTCTTTCTTTCTTTTTTTTTTTTTTTAAGCAGTTATTTAAGTCTTTCCCTCCAGGAATTGTAGAATTGTAGATATTTATTATCTTCATCGTGTCCATTTAGGTCTGTAACCTGTAAGTTTTAGAGGA